CGGCAGTCAGAGATGACCCCTGTCCTCTTCCTTTTTCCTTCTTCCTCTGGCTCTGTCCTCCTTTTCTCTTGCTGACCATTGAAACAGAAGCTCCCCTTGCCATGCTCTCTACTTAGCCTGCAGCCAGCTGTGTGGGGATTTCCCATCTGGATCTTACTGTGGGTGAGAAACGGAGCCCAGTGGATATCCCCAAGAGCTCCAGGCAGGAAGGCAGCAGACAAGGCTTTCCCCAGGTCTCCAGCAGCCTGAGCAAGTTCTACTCTGCTCCTCCTCACTCTTCTTGCCTTAAAAATGTGGTGAGAATTCTATGTATACACCCCAAAGAATTGAACACAAGGACTTAGATATTCGTACACCTAAGTTCATAGCTGCGCTATTCACAACAGCCAAAGGTGGAAACAACCCAAATATCCATGGATGGATGAATAGATAAACAAAATACGGTGCATACATGCAATTTATTATCATAATACAATGCCTTATTTAGCCATAAAAAAGCATGAAATTCTGATACATGTTACAGCGGGGATGAACCTCGTAAGCTTTCTAAGTGAACTAATCCAGTCACCCAAGGACAAATACTGTGTGATTCCGTGAAGTACCCAGAATAGGCAAATTCACAGAGACTCAAGGCAGTGCAGTAGTCACCAAGGCTGGGAGGAAGGGGGAATGGGGAGTTAATTTTTAAAGGGCACAGGATTTCTGTTCAGATTGGTGAAAAGTTCTAGAATAATGGTTTATAATATTGTGAATGTACTTAAAGCCACTGGATTGTTTACTCAAAATGGTTAAGTGATGTGTTGTATATGTTTTACCACTATAAATTAAAAGCCGGAGCCTAAGTGCCTGGCTGAATTTGCAGCCTGAGAGCAGGAAGTGGACAGGTGGGGAGCAGCGGCTGCTGCTCCCTCTCCTCCTCCCTCTCCTCCTCCTTATTATCCTCTGTAAATGGGGTAGAGCCTGGGGCCTTTCTGCTCTGAATGTGCCCACACCTCTGAAGAAAGAACCTCTCAGCTCTCTGTCTTGGGCTCATTCTGGAGCAAAGAAGTGATGTCTTCACCTGATTCCTGCCATCAGACAGTTTTCTAGGAGCTGGAGTCCCTGGGAAACAGTGAAGGGGGACAGGTCAGTGAGGGTGCTATGATCTGGTTCTCACTGTGGGTACCTGGGGTTCAACCCACTGGGACCTGCTGAGGGACTGTGTGGAATGCACCTCAGAATTATCACTAAAGAGGGGAGTATCTGTCCCATCACAGGTGGCTGTGCGGTGTTGGTGCTTCATGCTTCCAAGTTATGGGCAGTAGGGCCAGGTGGGTTCCTGCAGAATCTCATGACCTACATCAGCAGAAGCCTGGGTAGGAGACACTCAGTGCAGCTGAGGTACTGTCAGGCTGCCCTGCGTGAATCTGGTCAGGCAGCAGTGCCCTGAGGGCAAGAGGTCTGAGAGGATGTGGGGACACAAGAGGCTTCTGTTGGGGGAGGTCTCTTTTCCCCTCTTGGGACTGAAATGCTGCAGGGTTTGGTTGGGTCTCAATGCCTGTCCCTTTCCTCTGTGAACCAGTATGAGTTTGGGGTAAGTTTGGGGTGATTATGGTGCCCAGGCTCCCTCACAGGGCAATAGCACAGCCCAGAGAGACTCATACGTGTTTGGGAGAGCCCAGCGAAGCAGGTCAGAGGCTCCTGGGCTGGCAGAGCCCAATATTCCATCCTCCTAGAAACAGCTCCGTGTAGAGTCCTGCAAAACTGGGTACTCTGACCATGCCCGTTAGGTGTGCCAGGACACCCTTGATAAGATCTGACGTCTTTGAGGAATAACGGGCATGGCCTTAGGTTCTGACTTTTCCTGTAGGCAGCTCTTTTTCAGCCTGCTCTGGACATCAGCCTTATCATTCCCACCCATCTGAGGCTACCTGCTCAGGGCTGGGCACTGTGCCTGCCTGGGGCCCAGCCCTGCTGAGCCTGATCCCAGTGAGGAATAAGAAAATAAGAAAAACATATGCTTGGGCATGTACGTGCACGCGCACGCGCGCGCGCGCGCGCGCACACACACACACACAGAGCACTTAAAGAAATCACTGCTCATTAGAAGGGCAGTGAGGAATCTGAGAACTGGGAGATATCCTGAGGGCCTGAGCAGGCTGCCAAGAAGTGGGGTGGAGAAGAGGCAGGGGGTGTAGGTGGAGTCGGGTCATCTTGGAGCCCTGCTGTGTGAACCTGGGCAAGTTACTTAACCTCTCTGAACTCTGTTTTCTCTTCCATGTTGTATAATTATGCTGATTTCATAGGGTTGTTGTGAAGGTGAAGTGCATGAAGGCTGAGAAGAGTGTAGCTCACGACATGGCCTCGCTAGACTTTTGCCATTCCTCTTACTAGTAGAAGGTGCTGTGTTCATTCCCATCACTGAGGCTGGGTAGATCCCTTGTCTATCAGCAGCCATTAAACCAGAGGATTGGACTCATTGTCAGCAGGCCTCTAGGCCCTCTTCTATATGCCCCGCACATAAGGACCTCTAGATTTGGAAGGTAGGGAAGGAGAAACTACTTCCAGGTGAGGGTACAGAATGAGCATAAGCACAGAGGCAGGGAAGAGCATCCTTTGTCTTCCATTGCTGTGTAATAATTTATCACAAACTTAGCATCTTCAAAGAATGCCATTTATTTTTCTCACAGTTCTGTAAGTCAATCTGGAACAGCATATCACGAGACTGAAATCAAGGTGTTGGCCAGCTGAATTCTCAGCTGGAGGTTCTGGGGAATATATATCTGCTTCTAAGCTCATTGGTCTGCAGAATTTACTTCCTTATGGTTGTAGTACTGAGGTGCCCACTTCCTTGCTGGTTGTTGACTGAGGATTGCTGTCAACTACTGAAGGCCACCTGTGTGCCTTGCCAGGTGCCCCTCCTCCTCCAACCTGTCAACGATGTGTTATGCCTTTCCTGTCCTTTGGATTCCTGGCTTCTTCTGCTGTCTCTGATCTCTAGCCTCAAATTTAAAAGGCTCATGTGCTTGGATCAGGCCCTCTTGAATAGTCTCTCCATTTTAAGGCCACTGATTTGGAATTTAATTACACTTGCAAAATCCTTTCTCTAGATTCATGTTTGAGTAACTTGAGAGGAGGAGGTGTACCCACCCAGGACCATCTTGGAATTCTGCCTAACTCACCTGACAGGTGCCTGGGATGAGGGGCAATGTATCCAGGGCCAGGAGCAGGGCATGGGCTTGGGCATGGGTGCCTTTGCAGAAGGAAGACTAAAGTGGGTGCTGGTGGTGGGAGAGGTGTGAGACTCTGTATGTTTTGAAAGACAGGTGGAGGAGGAGGCATGGACATCCCTCAGCCCACCCCTGCTTGTGGCCCTGTATCACTAGATGCACTTAGCCCAAGCTGCGCTGACTCCTTGCAGACCCACTGCCATCCTGGCATCTGCATCTGGGTTTCCTCATTCTGATGAGGGCAGCTCCTCCCTCTGGGATGGGAAAAGTCAGAGGCCACTGAGCTCAGGAGGCCAGAGCAAGCCCCTGGAGCATCTCTGAGCTCTCTTGCAGCTAGCCTGGGGTCCAAGGAAAGTGGGGCCTCTTTCAGCAGCCAGAAACCAGAAACCAAAACATGAGTCAGGAAACCAATTGAGGATGTGTTCTTCCTCCTCATTGTGTCACCCTCTGAGAACGCTGGTGGGGGCATTCATAGTCTTGGCAGCATTTCTGGAACCCAGTGGGTCTGTCCCCTTCCTATTCTGGGTCCATTACAACTCAACACTCAACAAACCCTTGATTATTGGCAAATAACTATATTCCAAAAGTTGTCAGTACTTCAGGGTTTTGAAATTCAAATGCTCCTTTGGATGTACTAGGACCTCACCTGTGTCATCAACAGTAGCATCACACAGCCCTGCGTGGTCTCAGACCCTTGCATACATTGTCCAAGTCTTTATTATTCAGGGCTTTGCTTGGAGGTGGCTTGGTAGGAGACTGTTCTGTTAGTTGTGATGACACCACACACGGGCTCAGTTTGCTCTGGCTGAGCTGGATTTTCCATGGAGGTCATTGGGCTTAAATAATAAAAGGGGCACAAGACAAGCTTTAAAGCTCCTTCCCATCTGGCCTTAAGCCCATCAGAGGAAGGGGAGGGTCCCTGGCCTAGAAATGAGAGAGGTCCTCGATCTTTTGCTCTGAGGTGGGTCCAGATATGAACTGCTGGGGATAAGGAGGTGGGAGGGGAGAGTGAGGGTGTCCCAGCAGGCTTAGGCCTCTGCAGGGCTGGGTTGACCCAGTCTGGTTGGGGGGCGGGGGACCACAGTTGTGTTGGTGGACGTTAGTTAGCCAATATTCCAGGAATAGATGGTCACTTATGCCTGGCCACCCCCAAGGGGGTTGAGCAGGCGGTATCCACAGCTGGGCCACACCTGCACAGACAACCCTCCAGGCCTTTGTCGTTCTATTATCCTACAGGCTGAGAGTAGCATGTGTCCAGTAGCTGCACCATTGCAAGGCTGCAAAGTTGTGCTTAGAACTTCAGGTTTGCAGGCTGCAACTAATTTAGGGCACAGTCTGGTGACCAAAGGGCCTAGGGTTAGATTCTAATTCTGGGGTCAAGGTTGTCAAAATCTGCCATGTGTTTTATTCTGCCTTGTCATAATAATTCTGTTCAATCTATGTTGGGAAATGAGGCTTGGGTGGTGGACTGGGTTTGTCCTCTGCCTTTACTAGGTTTAAGTCCTCGGTGTGTGCTAACTCTAATGTTGTACAAGTTACTAGGCTGGCAAGTCAGACAAGTGACCTACCTGCCTCTGATGGCCTTAGTTTCCCTCCCTACCCAGTGGGAATTACAGTCTATCCCTTATGCTAAAGGCAAGCCAGTAGCCCACTGACTTCCAGGTTGTTGGGAGACCACAGTGTGCTGAGATGGATGAGTCAGTGTTTCCAGGAGCAGAGAGTATTTTCCAAATGGGGGACTTGTCCTCACCTCCAGTGGCATCTCATAGAGTCTGTCCTCTTTCCCGCCAGCTCTAGCCCAGGCTCCTGAGCTGGAGAGATGGAAAACTCCTCCGCAGCATCGGCCTCCTCCGAGGCTGGGAGCAGTCGCTCCCAGGAGATCGAGGAGCTGGAGCGCTTCATCGACAGCTACGTGCTCGAGTACCAGGTGCAGGGGCTGCTGTCTGACAAGACAGAGGGCGACGGCGAGAGCGAGAGGACCCAGTCCCACATCTCCCAGGTGAGCCCCGGGTTGACAAACTCAGAGGGGTGACGCAAGGGACCCTGATTCTGGCAGCTTCCAGTCACCTTGCCCTAGACTCCCAAGGTGTGGATGGTCTTACCCAGCAGAGTATCCAGAATCCTTCAAGTGAGGTTTCTGGATACAGCCAGTAAGCACCTTGGCTGTGCACGTGACCCCTCTAACCCATCTCCACTGCTTCCTGGACCACTAGGGCAACATCCTAACTCACGAGTCTTTGAACACACATCCTCTGAGCACCTACAACATGCCAGGCACTGTTCCCTGACCTCAGTAAGCTTATGTTCTAAAGGAGATCTGGAAATTATAGCTTATCCATAATGCATACCATCAAAGGGCTATAACTTGTGTATATTTTTTGTGATTTTGAACATTGGCAATTGTTGGCAGCCACAGAAATGAGTCTCTTGGGCTGCATACTCAAGGCTCCATATGCTAGATGCACTTAGACATATTAATCTGACCAGAAACTCAGTTTGGCCTCTCCCCCTCATGAATCAGCATGTGGCAGCCCTGACCTTGGCTACAAGGTGGACTCAGCTGCAAGACTGTGGGCTGAGATTTGAAAGTCTCAAATTCTCCCAAATAAAGTGCAACTGCACTAGGGGCAGGACCCTACTGCCTGGACACATATTATACCTTTGTCTAATGCCATAAATATTCAATAGATAATTTGTTCAAGAGCTGTTCCAGGGGGTGCCCATGGCACAGTGATTAAGGTGCTGGCCACGTGCACTGGAGCTGGTGGGTTTGAACCCAGCCTAGTCCTGCTGAACAACAACAACAAAATAGCTGAGCATTGTGGCAGGCGCCTGTAGTCTCAGCTACACTTAGGAGACTGAGGCAAGAGAATTGCTTGAGCCAAAGAGTTAGAGGTTGCTGTGAGCTATGATGTCAAAGCACTCTACAGAGGGTGACTAAGTGAGACTCTGTCTCAACAGCAACAACAAAAAAAGAGTTGTTCCAGATTTGCTTCTAGCTACCAGTGTGACCTTGGGCAAAGCCATCAATGTCTCTGGGGCTTAGTTTTTTTATCTGGCAAATGGCGATGCTCCTGTTGCCTTTGGGGTGTTGGAGGAGACAATCAGAGGTACAAAAGCACAGAGGCTAGGAGTGTTGGCTGCACAAGGAGTGTCTCTTCTCTTGTCTGGAGTGAAGGTCCCAGGTATCTATCTCTTGTACTTTTTGTCCTGAAGTGTGGGAGTCCTGTGGCAAGCAGAAGGTGAGCGACTTGAGTGCACCCTGCTTTGGAGAAAAGCCAAGTGCAACCACCTGGCTCACTGTCTGGAGAGAAAACCTGGATCCTTTAGCTTTTTAGAAAGCCAGAAAACATATGCGGCCTTCCTAGAACTCAGACTAGAAGTCATGCTGGGAGATGCCAAAGCCACAATGATTCCTGTCCCATCTGGGGAGCAGGAACCAGAAAATAATCCTGACAGAGGAGTAGAAATAGATGTGATGCTTTCCTTAGTGTCCTTGAGGTTCCAAATTACAAGTAGATAAGCCTGTAATCTGTTCATCATGCAATCTGCAAGTGTTTATCCAGCCCCTCCCCTGGGCCAGCCACGAATCCAGGAGGAAGTGTCCAGGCGGGAGCAAAACTGACAAAAAGCTCTGCCTTGTGGGACTTACATTTTAGTGGTGGGTGATCATCATGATGGAGAAAAATGAAGCAAGAAAATGGAAGGGAGTAGAGGGGAAGGAGCCAGTAGGACTTGCAGTTTTAAGTAGAGTGGTCAGGGAAGATGGCATGGAAGGAGGGACAGGGAAGAGCCATGCAGGTGTCTGGGCAGGAGCACTGGGCTGACGGAGAAGCCCGTGCACAGGACCCGGCCAAAAGAGAGGTCTCGATCCAGGAAGGGGGCCAGGGTGTTCGGACAGAGGGTGAGGGAGAGAGAGCCACAGAGACAGGGGAGTGGGACCCTATGGATGGGAGGTGTGAAGTCTGAGACCTGAGGTTGCCTCATGTTAGAAAGAAGGGATGCAAGGAGGAGCCAGGGGTGTGGTGAGGGCAGTTTGAGAAAGCCACAGGGGTGACTGCCTGGGACTCTGCTGCCAGGCCATGTTGGAGGGGCTGAGGTGGCTGACCGAGCAGTGGGGACCATGATAGGGGACAAAAGACTGTCTGGGGTTGGCTCAAGGAGAGTAAAGGAGGTGGATGGGAGACAAAGAGTGTAGCATGACTGACTACTTTGGGGAGTTCAGCTGTGAAGGGCAGAGACACGTGGTGGTGTTTGGCAAGTGAGGTCAACTCAGGAGCAAAGAGTCTTGTGCATTGTTTGGAGTGGTGGGGCAGGGGGAGGGTTGCTGGACCCTTGGCCTCTCTACACCACCTGGGGCCATCCACAGGGACAGGAGGAGAGTGCAAGTATGTAGCCTGGCATTGAAAGTGACACCCACAACTTTTCTCCAGCTACTTTCTGCTATGAAGGAGCAAATGCAGAGCTATGAAGATGACGTCAGCCAGGACTGAAGTCTCTCTTGGGAGGAGGGAGGGGGTGGGGGAGGAATGAGGGAGTGACGATGGTGGTATCCCCTGGAGGCCAAGCCAGGCAAGGAGGGGGTGGGCATGGGGCAGGAGGTGGATGCTGAGGCTGCAGGGGTCAGCGGATTAGAGGGCTTCATGAGCCCGGGAACTGGTGGAGCCCTGAGCTAGAAGATAGGGTATGCACGAGTAGGGTGGCCAGGGTGGCCAGGGAACGGCTGGGTTTGAGCATGGGAATGCATGAGGGGG